ATCACCATCCCACTCACCGCCATCTCCATCCTCGCCATCTCTCCAACGTAAACTTTAGTCAGCATCTACAAGTTGAGATTCCTTTGTAGTTGAACTGTTGAAGTACATGGATCCACTCTTTGGAGGACATTGACAGGCGATGTGTTTCCCATTGAGTGCGCCACATGACTGGGGGGGGGTGAGGAGGGGCGTTTCTAAGAATCTGTCAGCAATAGAACACCATTCATCAGGGGTGGTGGAACAAACCATCACCTCCATTTATTCATCGATTATGGCTTAGCTGACTTCTCTGACAATGAGTTACTGTGAGTGTTCCTCCATCCGAACGATAAACTTTCAGCTGACGGTTCCAAACATATATCGACATATGGGTATAATAGCTATATAACTTATTATGCTATACGTTAAGGTGTGACAGGGCAATTATAGGATCGGAACCTGTTGTGCAATGCCGGAATACAGTTTTCCAAATGACAAATTTTTCTTTGTATCAGTATAATCACGGCAATGGGTTTGCATCGAGACTATCAATAATAATTGTATGTGTTTCTTTCATATTTCAGGAAAATGTACGCGAAATTGAATCACACATGCAATCAGATTGCGACTCAATAGTAATGAGTCATGCACCCAATTATAGTAACATTCCATATACTAATGGGTTTTGTATAGTTACAACTACTGATTTACCATGAACCCATCAAATCCTTTCACCTTCGCGAAAAAGACATTGCTTGGATATTTAGTTTCTGGACAGCTCGCTGGCCAAAAAGAATCTCTTCTTTAAGAGCTGTGTCCTCATCATTTGTCAACCATAAAAAGTTTTTGAATTCAGAATTTGTATGCATGAGAAATACATTATTACACAATTTATTGATGAAAAATGTATTTATAAATAATATATACAACATTATCACAATAACATGTGTCCTTGTTGATGTGGACCCATTGTATGCTGAAAGGCGATCCTGTTCTAGAAAATAACAACATTATATAAATATCGACTTTATAAACAAAATTTACAAAAACAAAATATTTTTACTGTTAAAATAGTGTTCAAAATATCAATATCGTAGAGAGTTCAAACAAAATTTAGATCAACATTAATAACTTAAATGTGTATAAATAATTTGCTGAGTTCATTTCGTTGTTCGAATTTTACGAAACACACGAGTTACACAATGAAAATTAACCAGATTTGAACAATAACACTGCAACTTGACCCGAATAAAAGTAGATGAAGTTTTTCGTTTCATGGGTGACGTACGATCCAAAATTTCGTCCTACGATACAGTGCCATGTTGGGTTGTATTTTTTGTCGAATTCTTTCTTTACGAAGGCTGCGATATCTTTTTCTACGTTGAATTTCTCTAAGGCTTGTGACGTCACATCGATAGCGTCCTGTTGCATATCTTCTGCCATATCAGCATTTTTAATAACAGCCTTTGTGTTAGACATTGTGGTTCTGAAAGGATACAGATATAATTTTGAAAAAAAAATGGAGTGTTCATGTCACAGACTTGATAGGCGTTATTTTGATCTATTTGAGCTAAATCTTGTGCTCTTGGTGTATATGAACCAATCCTAGACTAACTGCTTTTCTAAACTGCATTAATGACCGGGAAAACCGAGTTGAATTAATAGCATGTTCTAGCCTAGGGGTGTTCACAATACATACTTGATTATAACAAAACCTTACCTTTATGCTTTCAGAGTTCTTTTTTCTGTTATGAGAAGAATGATTGCTTAATGACTACTTGCTAACGATTCTCATTTTTATAGTGGAATGAGAAGTTACAAAGTGAAACAAATATTGGCGTCCAACAGTGGTTTCTATCAATCCCTAGTAACCTTGGATTAAATAATTAAGCCAGATTATCTCGTGATAAATAACCTGATTGCAATTACAAATAGAAGACTGGTTGTCTCGACAACATTCACATGCGTTTTTCTTAATACCTTTAAATAATAGGCTACTGAAGGGTGGGAGACTTTTAGGTGAGGAAAACTAAATTCAAAAGCAGTACGGTTTATATTGACACTGTCTTGTGTGTTGCTTAGCATACTAACATGGTAAGGGTAAAAAATACAAATTCTGATACTTTAATTTGAGTAAACATTCTGTAGTACATGCACATGTATACCTTAGAAGTGTTTTTTGTAGAAGAGAAATGATAAGTACATAAATCACTGAACATCGTACTCATTCCAAACATTAGATATATGCATAATATGCAAATTAAGTTTCATCTATTACGCTCACCACTTTTGAAGGGAAATAACTCAAAAACAGTTACAATGCAATTGAAAATCTGCCAAATTCGAACTCGTACTTTTCTCTCATTTATGCATTGGGGAACACCCTTTCCCTCATATCACCCTTTTCCTACGCATACCTAAATGTATAAACTAATTTCTTTCAAAATTGGATGAAGTTTCGACTGCGATCCATGGACAAGGACATATTAACATATATTAAATTATAAAGCCTCTTCCAGACAAGCTTTGAATTCCGGACAGAATTTATCTTGTCCTTTTGGCTGTTCAATTTGATATACAAATTTGATAAACGTGTATCGTGTCAGGCAACGAACAGTGATGTAACCTATTTTCGTGGATATAAGGATTCAACACCGAATTTCGTCAAAGTTAAACAAACGAAAAAAAATTTTTATGTCTTAGATGTTTCCTCGGATATTCTACAAAATAATAGAAATTGGTTTATTTCGATTTTCTTAATGAATCCTTCACTTTGACCCATATTTCATGAGCAACCAACTCGGCAGCAGAATGCGTCACCTATTTTCGTGTACAATGTTTGATCTATAAATAAGTCTAGAAAAACACGTTGTATGGATACCGGGTGGTATAAATAACTTCTCTTAGTATTTATCTTTAATATCAATTCATTATAACTAGTGACAATTCCTTCAAAGAACCACGATTAAAAAAAAATAGTGACTGACAAAATAAGGTACGTAGCGTGATTAATTGCTAAAAGTCATGAAACA